CTCCTCCCCAAGAACTCGGGGTTAGCACTCCCCCCACCCGGTCCCCTGAGAACCTCGGGGGAGCCCGGCCACTTACGGGATGACCTTGATGTCCTCCTTCCCATGGAGGACGTAGTCGATGACTTTGTAGAAAACGATTTCCTGAGAAAGGACACATGGCGGTGTTAGGGGGACCCTCTGCCCCCCCGGACACACACGAGCACCATCACAGTTCGCCAACCCATGCGCGCGTGTGCACACACACACACACACACATGCACACACACACACCTGGACACATAATCTACCCCCACCATGCCTACACATAACTGTCAATACACACACGCACACACACACACACACACACAGTATATCACAGTCCACCCCACCCCCAGCTACACACACACACCCTCACCTGGACACATAATCCACCCCCACCCATGCCTACACATAACTGTCAATACACACGCGCGCACACACACACACACACACAACCACTCAGGCCTACATATATGCAATTATACACACACACCACCACACCTGGACACTCAATTCACCCCCATCCATGCCTACACATCTGTATCAATATATACACACACCCCACCCAGACACACAACCACCTATCCAGCCTACACATATGTAATTAACCACCCCCTGGACATATAGTTCATCCATTATCCACACCCACACCTATGTAACACCCCCTCCACCCCCCTACCCCCCCACATGCATTCCACGGGGGAGAAATGTCAGGAAGACTGAAGGGTGGGACATCAGGGGCACTGCCCACCCAAGTGAACGCTGGCCATGACCCGCAGGCCGGTGACCGAGTCAGCCGACCAGGCCAGTCTCCTGGGAGCCAGCAGGGCCAGAGTCTGAGATACAGGCAGGCAGGCAGGGGGCTGTCCACCACCTTGTCCCACTTCCATGCCTCCCCCTCCTCCAGCCCCCGCCCCCAGCCAGAGGTTGAGCCTGGATGGGCCTCTCCATCCCTAGAGCCTGAGCCAAGGGGCCCCAGGGCCTGCCCCACCCAGACTCACCCGGCCGTCGGGCGTGCGGGGTCCGGAGTACGGCTGCGCCTCCCCCATCAGCACAGGCCACACGTCGAAGAATTCCTGGGTGGAGGAGGAGGGCAGAGACAAGTGGTTGGCACTGGTGAGGTGGGCGAGAGCCCCCTCTCCCCCCCTGGGACGCGCCAGACCCCACCTTCTCCTTGGTCATGTCCAGGAGTCCCACAGAGTACCGGTCGCAGTTCAGGTAGGCCCGCACGGTGTAGAAGGCCTTGTGGAACTGCCGCTCGATGTCCGTCAGCTCTTCAAATACCTTGTTGGCCGACCACAGCAGCACCTGGGGGTGGAGGGGCACACCTACCGTGGCCACACGCAGACACACCTGCCCGACCCGCCTGGCCTAGGGAAGGGGCCCATGCTGGCCCCGGCCATGGGCCTTCGAGCCTCCAGCACTGGGTGCCACCCACAGCCCATCACCCCTGAGGGCCCCGGAACCCCACGCTGGGCCGTAAGGACAGCAGGCTGGGGCTGCTGGCGTAGTGCCCGGTGGAGTGATGAGTGAATGACTGACTGCCAGGAGCTTGGAACGCATAGATCTGACCGTGCAGCCCTGTTGTGATCATCTGAGCTGCTGGTGTCCGCTGGCCTAGGCCACTTTGTGGGCTCAGGCCACTGGGTCTGACAGTGACTGTAGATGGCCACTCACTGCCCAGGACATCACTGATGGCCAGGGTTGGGGCCTTCTCCCGGGCCTTCTACCGGGAGCTCCCTGCACCCCTCTACATTGGAGTCCTGATTGTCTGGTTTGCAGGCCACCCACCGCCGTAATGCTCGCTCACCCCTGTGCCTCTCAGGGTGCCACAGACCCCAGGGCAGAGTGCTGCCCGCATACCCAGACCTTGGCCTCTACCATGGCTTCCTCTCTCAAGCTCCCTCCCTGCCGGTCCCTCCCTGAGGTCCTCTGCTGGCTCCTGTGCCCGTTGCTCTTTCCCCCAGAGTCCAGGAGACACTCCCGTGCCCACAGTCCATGCCCCTCTGAAGGCCAGGCTGAGTCCTCCTGCTCCCACCCACCTTCAGACAGGCGCCTCTCTGTGGCCTCCATGCCGCCCCCATGGGGAGGGTGGAGTTTCTGTTGGACACGCCCACCGACAGCCCTCACTGAGGCAGGATGACTTTGGCCTCTGGCTTCTGGTCTACTCCCCCGTGCCACTGTCTTGGGAGAGTGCAGTGCCTCGGGCATCTCTGTCCTCAGTGTCCCCCGGACATCAGCCACTGAGGTCCTGGTCTCACTGGGAGCCAGAGACCCTGCCCCTCACCTTCAGTCCTGCTCACGCCCCTCCAGCACGGGGGCTTCTGATCCACCCCTCCACATGCTGCGCTCCACAACCACGCCTCCTTCCTGTGGCCGCTCTACACTCACTGTCACGGAGTCCATGTCGGCTCACGGTGGCCCTACAGTGTGGGGGTGGGTCTGCCCCTGGGGGGTTCCCAGATGGTCACTCTTCACGGGAGTCGAACGCTGAGGTCTTTCTCCAGAGAAGCGGCTGATGGTTTTGAACTGCTGACCTCTGGACTGGCAGCCCAGCACGCGATCACTGTGCCCTCAGTGCTCCTCCTGACCAGGAACCACATCAGCCAGACTCTGCCCCGCCGGCCAGCAAGGGCCGGCAAAAGCACCCACTACCGACGCCGAGTGCCCACACTGCATCCACAGTCAACAGAATCCCTGGGCTCCGAGTGCGGGGCTGGGAGGAACACACAGGGTCCAGCTCGTGGACGGTGTGTGTGTGTATGTGTGTGTGAATCCCCAGTGCGCTGTGGGGGACTGGCAATCACGGTCCACTGAGGATCTGTCAGCACAGATCATCTCACCAGCACGAGGGCATGGCTGTGTGCACGTGTGCAAGTGTGAGTCTGGGTGCAAGAACACGAGCGTATACATGTGTGTATCGTGATTACACAAATGCATGTGCATGTGTGCATGTGCACCTATCCGTGGCTGTGCGTGTAGGTGTGAGGGCATACATGCATGTGCAGATAAGCGTGGGCATGCTATAGTTGTGTGAGTGTGCATGCATGCATGAGACATCGAAGCTCTTGTTCTGTGACCTGAGCATTCGATTGGGTCACCTTTCTTTGGAATGGGCACAGATATGGATCTCTTCCAGGCAGCTGGCCAGCGAGCTGTCTTCCAGACTCCCTGGCATAGACCAGGGAGTGCTTCCAGGGCTGCTTTAGCTGAAACATTTCGGCCGGTATCCCATCCATGCCTGGAGTCTTGTTTTCCACCGATGCCTTCAGGGCAGCTTGGACTTCTTCCTTCAGCACTGTTGGCTCTTGCTCATGTGCTCCCTGCTGGAGGGGAGGGATGTGGACTAACTCCTATTGTTACAGCGACCCTGGGGATTCTCCCCACCACCTGTCTGTCTGTCTGCCGTACTGCGGTGCCTTCCGTGCTGCTGTGAGGCTGGACGCGATGTCCCTGTACGTTCAAACACCAGCAGAGTCACCAGTGAACGGATTTCAGTGGGGCCTCCAGACTTCGAAGAGATGACAAGGAGGGAATTGGCGGTCCACTCCAGAGGAGTTTGCTCCTGAAAACCTTATGGACAGCATCAACACTTTGTCAGCTGCTGAGAACCCGGTGAACACTGTCCGAGATCGAGGCAGGAGAGGAGCCCCTCGGGTCCGAAGGCTCAAAGGAAGAGTCGACCGTAGCGATGACGCACATGGAGTCAAGCCCGCGGAGCGAAGCCTATGGGGCTTCCATTTATTTACTGATGGGGCATGACCCCACAGGGGAAGAAACAGCTGCAAAAGAAACTCTACTAAAGCAATAATAACAAGCCCCAAGCCAAACTCACTGCCGTCGAATCGACCCCAACTCATTAGTGACTCCCGAGGACCGTGAGAACTGTCCCCAGGTGGGTCTCAGAGACTGTAACTCTTTGTGGGAGTAGAAAGCCCCGTGCTCCTCCTGTGGAGCGGCTGGTGGTTTTGAACTGCTGACCTTGGAGTTAGCAATCCAAAGCAGAACCACTGTGCCACCAGGGCTCCTGAGCACCAACTGCAATGGCCTATTATTTGCTTCAGGCATATGGAAGGGACCTTAGTGGTGCAATGGCTGAAACATTTTGGTGCTAACAGAAAGGTTGTCAGTGCCCACCTGCCCAGGAGTTCCTGGAGAGGAAGACCTGGTGCCACGCTCCCAGGAAGACGACAGCCGAGAAAACCCTACGCAGGGGCAGTTATCCTCTGTCGCAGGGGTCACACGAGTCAACATCAACTCAACGGCATCGGACGGTGCAGCGTAGGGGCGAGAGAAGTGAATGCCAGCAGGGAACAAGAAGGAGGAGCCGCGCATCATCCTCACCGCCCTTGAAGCAGTACAAGGCGATTGTACGACGCCATTTGTCTGAAAACTCCTCACTGGGCAATTCCACGGAGACACAGCACCCTGATGGTTGCCAGGGGCAGGGGAGTGGGGGGTATGATTGATGCTGGCTCAGGGTCTCCTTTGTGGAGGGTGGGTTCCTTATGGGAGTAGATCAGGGGCTGGCTACAGCACGGGGTGACTATGCTGAGTGCCACTGACTTGCACACGCTCATGCTATATCATGTAAATTTTACCTCTGTTTAACAATTCTCCCATCCCATTCACTCTCCGACCTGCTAGCTCATCCTCAAAACATCCTCACCTTCTTCCTTGTTTCTCAAATAGCAAGGTGGGGGGCATTGAACTAAATCAATCAAGTGTATGATCAGAATCTAGAAAAAGAATACAGTAGAGGGACAGAGAAATATATACCATGTTACCACTAGTCACAGAGGGATGGGGGTTACTAGTTGCAGAGGGATGGGTGTAGTGGGATGGTTAACTCCAAGTTCAGGAGTGGGAAAACACCAACCACCAGGAGGGAGAAAGATGAGGCTGTCTACCCTCGCTTGCTGAAAGCGAGGAGGCTCAAGCACTTGCTGATGAGGATCAAGGATTGCAACCTCCTGTATGGATTACGACGCAGTGTGAGGATGACCCAAAGCCTCACCACTGGACCAATAGGGAACGTCGTGATTGATGGAGAAAAGGTTGAAGTTGTCAAGGATTTTGTCTTGCTTGGCATCCATAATCAATGGTCACGGAATCCGTGGTCAAGAGATCAAAAAACATATTGCATTAGGTCAATCTGCTGCTCAAGACCTCTTTAGAGGACTGAAGAGCAAGGATGTTCACCAAGCTGTGGTGTTCTCAATGACTTCCTATGCACGTGCCAGTTGGACGTTGAACAAGGAAGACCAGAGCAGAACCGATGCACTTGAATTATGGTGCTGGAGGGGAATCTTGACCGTGCTACGGACCGCCAAAAGAACAAACGCATCTGGCTTGGAAGAAGTACGGCCAGCGTGCTCCTTAGAGACAAGGATGGTGAGGCGGTGCCTCACATAGTTAGAACATTATCGGGAGAGACCAGTCCCTGGAGAAGGCCATCGTGCTTGGTCAAGCAGAGGCCCTGGACAAGAGGAATCTTTACAACAGCTGCAACAACGGGCTCCAACCTAAGAGCAACGGCGAGGAGAGCACAGGGCTAGTTGGGCTTCGTTCTGTTGCACAGAGGATGGTTATGGGTCAGGACCAACTCATCGACACCACCGTGGCAAAGATGCACAGTCTTGGAAACCCACATGGGCTGTAGTCCTCTGGCACAGGGGTGGAGATGAGTCGGAATCCACTCAATTGCAGTGTGCTTTTGTCTCACACCAGTCGAAAGTGGTCTGGACTGGCTACCTGAAGTTCAGACTGTCAGATGAGGAACATTAGCGGGGATTAGGAAGGTTTACTATGTCCTTATAAAGCGGTCCATTCTCCGAGAAGACGTAACTTAACACACATGTGCCCATCAACAGAGCATCCACATTTGTAGCGAGAAGTGGGCGGAACTGCAAGGGGAAGGGAAGCGTCTATGATTCCAGTTGGAGAGTTCGATACCCCTCCTTGGATGACTGGTAGATGCAGCAGGCAGAAAATCAGTAAGGGTGGGGGAGGCCCAGTAGCACCATGGACCAACCAGATCTCATGGCCACTTATAAAATCGTTCATCGTCAACAGCATAACACAGGTCCTTCTCAGTCACCAGGCAGGAACCCCGTTCTGAGCTACAAAACACACCTTAGCAAATGGAAAATAACAAAGTTTATTCTTAGAGCTCAACGGACTTAGACTAGAAATCATTACCAGAAAGGTAGCAGACACCCCTCGACCCTTCAGAGAGCAAGCAACAGACTTCTACATAGCACAGGGGCCAGAGACAAAGTTGCCGTAGAAATTAAGCAATGCTTTTC